AGAGAAGTCTGAGGCTGAAATACCATGTCAGATCCCAAACTGTGGGGCTCAGTTTGGGATAGCAGCTGAGGGCTCAGCATCACCAGCAGCCAGGCCCTCTCCCCCCACATAACCCAGCTGAATGCAGGTGCTGTGCCCCACTGCCACATCCATGCAAATAAATTGCTAAAAAGATAATGGGGCAGCTCTGCTTTAAAGATGCTCTAAACTCAGACTTGCAATTTTACCGCTGACTTAGCAGATTGCTCTGGTATCAAAAGCTCTCCTAAACCATTGCCACCACATTACCCCGCACCCTGTACCTCCCCCAGCACCCCTATGGAGCTGGCTGAGCCCCCCCCGGGGGCACAGTGTGGCCAGCCAGGGGATGCTCGGGGCTGGAGCAACTCGCTGACGGGCCCCGGCACACCGACGCTCCATGAGGGTCAGGCACAAGCTAACTGAATGCATAACTTTATTAAATAAATGCTTTGTCATGAGAAAAGACAAAGATCAAAGAGTAACATAAATTATAAGTTGAATAAATAGTATACAGCAATCTTCACTTTTTTAATAAAATGTGAGATTTTTTTTTTTTTTAAGTACAAAATGCTAAACAGAGCATTAAGCTCTTCTTCCATTGTCAGTTTTTCACAAACTGCTTTTTTTTTTCCCACCAGTAAGATTATGAGTATTTCTTGTTTACTGGAAAAAAAAACAACAAAAACAAAACAAAACAGAACAACAGAGCTACCGTATGTATGTAAAGCTATAAAAAGCTACCGTAAAATGTGTAGTGAGTATTGCTTAAAGATAAAAACCAGGCAGGAAACTCGGAATCTGGTGTGTTTTAACAACTGTGTTACAACGGTGGGTAATGTGCGCGGTGACATCTGTCCCGGTGGCAGTGGCGGGGGGGCTGGTGGGACTGGGGAGGGGGGCACAGTAGGCAGGGCTCCTAGCCAGGGCCAGGACAGCGGTCTGGAAGCGAGGTGAACTGTCGGTCCTTAAATATACAATGCTCCGTTTGGGAAAAAAAAAACAACAACAACAACAACAAAAAAAACCCAACAACAAAAAGAAAGTTTTCATGGGGAAGGGGGAGAAATAGTGAAGGGGGGAGAGAGCGGAGAAATAGTGCAAAATGCTCTTGTACTAGTGGTTTTCGAAGTCCACTGCAGTACAGACAAGGGGTAGCCCAGCCGCTGAGCGCCGCTCCCCGGGGAGCTGTGGTGGAAGGGCTGTCCTGACCCCTGCGC